CGGTTTCTTCCCCAGTGAGAACATGCCTCCTCCTAAGTCTCCAGGAAAGCTGACCACTCGACACCCCCCACCGCCCGCCACCCCACAGGGGCTTCTGTTTTTAGTTTTATGTCCCTTCACCCAAGTTCTAGGATGTCCCTCCTTGAAGTGATCTCTTTCTCTGAGTAAGTGCTCGCCTGATCAGTGAAACACTAGGTGTTTCCAGAAGGACTCGGAAGTAACTTACTAGCTAGTTAGCTAGACATTGTGTGTTTATGTGTCTGTGTTGTAAAGACGGGGAGGAAGCTGTGACACAGAAGAAGGAAAAAGGCAAATGTGGACAAAGGACAACTTCTGTAGCAACACTAATTCAGTGGAAACCTGTTTGAAAATTAAGACATCCTTTATCTGAAAAGTAGACGTAACAACCCAATCCACTTCAGCTCAACTCTTAAACTGGGCTAGGAGGCTTCATCTCTTAGAAATTGGGTGGTAGCAAAATAATATTTCCACGATCCAGGAGTTCATCTCTACAGAGCATAAGTCTCTGAATTGCATGTTTTCCTTTTGTGGCCTTATCTTGACATTTCCGCTACTCCAAGCCGACTAAAATACAAGGCAGAGTGGCAAGTGGACTTTTGTCCACAACCCTGATCTGTGTCTAGCAGTTGTAACAGAAGTGAGTTTTAAAATTAATTATGATAAAAGCCAATCCATATTCATTGTTGAAAATATAGAAAATACAAACAAGCAAAACAAAGCTATTAACAGTCTCACTACAAGTTAATATTTTGGTATTTACTCCCCCAAACTTTTTTTCCTGCAATAATGATACGTATTCTTTTTGTATAAAGATGGAATCATCTTATGTGTATAGTGCTATAACCTTTTTTCTTATTCTCATTCATACAGAGACATCTTTTCTTGCTAATAAATATACCGTATCTTTCTAGTATAGCATTCCATTGTCTCACTAGACCAAAAAAAATTTCTTTTTTAGCCACATCCTTGTTAAACATTTAGGCTATTTCCAATTTAAAATTTCTATTTATTATAAAAATTGCTACATCTTTGCATGCTTCCAGGTCTTACCTTTACATAAGTATCTAGAAAAGGAATTGCTGGGTTAAAATATATGCAGTTTTAAAGCTGGGCCAGTCAAATGTCAAATTACCCCCCTTCCCTAGAAATTTTCTGAAATTTACTTCTCCAGACACTTTCCTTCAGGGAAATATCCTTTCCCCTACATCCTGTCTAATACTGGATATTACTATTTTCAGTTTTTGTAAATTCAATAGGTGAAAATAATATTTACCTTAACTTTTTCTTTGGTTATTTTTTATTGTTGTTACCAGGAAGACTAAAGTTTTTTTCCAAGCTCTATCGGTAATTAAAATTTCTTCTTTTGCTGATTTGCTTATTAATATTTTTTGTTCATATTTAAAAGGGGACAATTATCTTGTTTATTGATTTGTATATTAAGAGTAATTTTTTTGTTCATCGTTCATATTGTACACACTTTCTCCCAGTTTGTCATTTTCCTCCTCATTTTATTTACTGTATTTTTTGAAGTACAGAAAACCTGAGTTTTTAATGTTGTCTACCCTTTACTGACGTGGTTTTTGACTGTGTGTCATGCTTTTAAACCAGTCCTCACCTTAAATTTATAATATTGATCTATATTTTTCCTTTCTTTTTCAAGTTTAAACTTATCTGGAGTCTATTTTAATCTAAAGTGTCAGGTAGAGTTTTAAATTTTCCCTCCAAATGTTAGTTGGTAAGACTATTGAATAATCTACTTGCTATGAATTGCTACTTTTATAATATATTAAATGTTTAATATACTTGAGTCTGTTTTGAATATTCTATTCTGTTTCATTAATATTTCTTATTTGGTTCTAGGTGTACCCAGTTTTAATTATTGGAGCATATTTCCTGCTAACTCTTCTCCCCTGCCCCCCCCCACAATTGTTCTTTTCCTTTCTTTTAGAATTACCCTATTTGTGCAGTTTTTCTTCTAGATGAAATGTTCATTGGGATCTTTAAGAGACTGAGTTGAATTTAAAATGATCATTTTTTACACCATTGAGTCTTTCATCCAGGAATGCAGTATGTCCCTCCCCATTTGTTAAATCTGTTAGGTCCCTCAATAAAAACTCGAACGACTTCTTTTTCTATTACCCCGAACATTGTTGATGAAGTTTAGGCCTGGGTATTTCATCATTTCTCGGGCTGTTTTTATGGTCGTGCTGATGATGGTTTGTGCCAACAGTGGCTTTTCTAGCCCAGGATCAGGTGGCGGGGGCTTGAATCAGGGCTCAGCCACTTCCTGGCTGTGTGCCCTTGAGCAAGTTAACCTTTCTGACCCCAAATTTTCTGTTCTCGTCTCATCTGCAAGACATACATAATACTACCATGTACCTTAGCAGGCTGTCGGACAGAACAAATGAGAAAACAGAGGGAAAGCACCGCACTATAGAACACGAATGTGCGTTGTGATCATGCAGTTTCTACACTAGCAAATGTTTGTCGGTTAAACACAAGTGTATACATTGCTTCAGACATCCAAAAGCTTTAAGAAACCATCTTCCAAAACAAACCTTCGATTTCTGAGGCCAATGTACTTCAATGTGCTTTGTTTAGAACTCTGCAAGCATTTTGAAGGCTCAGCCTGTGACCCTGTCCACCAACGGGAACCCGTTCGCTGAGAACATCAAAGAGCCCAGGACCTCACACATGGCGCTCACCCATGTAGCTTACGTGCTTCTAAGTCTGTGCACCATGAGGACGTGCCAGGCCCTGCATCACATTAGAAATGTTCCCAGCGTGGGTACAGTGGCTTCAGCTGTGGGACATCAGGTCATCCCTAGTGTTGCAACTCTCACAGGCAATTTCCACCAGTGGTGTGGTGACCATCAGGCCTGTCAGCAAGTCAGCAACCTGGGATCCGTCCCACCACCCACCCCCGAGCCCCGAGGCATGAGTCTCTCCCACGCACGTTCCTTTATTTAGTTAGATGTGTTCCCTGCTGTCTTCATGGCTATTTATCATCTCTGTGAAACCATCAAATCAGACCAGACAACTTCATCTCTTGCAAATCCTTGAGTTCTCTGTGAAAAACATCTTGGCAAACTGCCACAGACTTGCAACAAATAAAACAAGTGATCCCGCTTCAAGCCTCAAACCCCTGTCGCTTGCCTTGATGTTAATTCATACAGTTTTAGTAACTTCTCTGTGACAGCGGCATTCGAGAGTACTTCTTCTCGGAGTGTTATATAGGTATTTTAAGAATGTGGGACAGCTTTAAGCTGTATAGTCCCAGGAGCTACAAACTGTAAAAACAAATTGAACTGATGAAAAAGTATCATCTGATTATTTTTACGAAAGCAATTAATTGCAATGCTACCAGTTAAATAAGGAGGTGTAATTCTAACACCTGGTTTCATACCTGCCCCTTGGTTGTGGTCAGGATCGGAGAAGCCACTTTTGTTCTTCTGACTAGTTTATCTTGTAACAATCCCCCTTTATGACCGCAGCAAGTGTTGCCGGTCCCTGAAGATGCAATAAACCTATGCTAAACCTGGCTTGCGCTATGAGGCTCTCTCACTTGGCTTCAGGGGAGGGTAGCGTTCAATGTAGCACAAAGTCAAGTAACAGCTAGATCATGCTCCTTTCCTCTTCATCAGTATAATGTCCCTTCTTCCCGTAAGAGGCCTGGCCCGAGTGGAATTAAAGAGACGCGCATCTGGCTAACATCAGAGCCAGGCCTAGAATTGGTCCAAGACACATAGATCATGCCCACAGTGTAGACATAATCTGGGCCACTATTCAAGCAATGCTGTGGTTTATTAAACTGAGTACTTCTTCTTTCACCCACTAAACACACACACACACACACACACACACACACACAGAGACACACACACATACACCCCTGCCTATTAACAATCTCATTTGAGGTTACCATCTGCAGGATTAGAAACTGTTACTTTATCTTCCTCGTAATACTTAGCTCAGATTTGAGGGAAATCAGTTGGCACTGAACATACTCAATATTTAATACTTGTTGACTTTTAAATGACTTGAGGGACTAGAAAGAAAAAGAGGAAAGAAACTCATAAAGTAATTGGAAGTGGCCACAGAGATTTACGTGCTCGGAGAGGCCAAAATAGTTCACACAAAACTGCTGTTTTCTTGCAATTAATGGTTCCATCTTGTCAATGACTGCACAGGTGGTGGACACACCAGCCACCAAATAGCTTAGCCTCACGGTAGCCAGCTGTCTTGCCTCTAAGTGTTCTTTTTTGAGATCTCTAAGGTGTCTTTTAATTTATGGACTATCTCTTATTTTAACTAATCAATAAAAGAAAATGAAATGCAATTTTAAAACAAACTCTCCTCTAGATTGAGTTTCATCGCAACTCATCATAAACTTGCTGTGTGAATCACTTAACCTCTCTGAGTTCTAGGTTTACACAGAAGGATTATTTCATTTTTAGCTGGTTGTCCTGGCACGATGTGGACAATGCCAAGCACACATTAAATGCTCAATAAATATATTTGTAAAAACTGTACTTTCCCCCAAAAAAGACAAAGAGAAGGGAAGAAACAGGAAGAAATTCACAACATTCTTTATTAAACTAACCTGGATTTTCCTGAGAAACACTGAAGCGATCCCTTTTAGAATATCATGAGCTCAGAAGTGAATCATAAAATGAACAATAGAATTATTACAAAACCAGAACAGATCTATGGTTCCTTATCCTCTCTGACTTAGTTAATTCCTAGGTAACAGTATCTAGACTTCTGGCATATACAATAAACGTTTTATTATTATTGTTGTCACTTTACTTGCAAAATTATAAATCTACTTGGATGAAATCAAATCTAATTCTCCCCTTATCTTTCCCAATGCTGTTACTCAACGTAAAATCATCACTGTGGCCAACAGGCAGAAAGGGAAAGACACTTGGCTAATATTTGCAGTTCCTTGTCTGTGGTTATTCACTGAAGCTTGCAGAGGCAGAAACACCAAGCTTTCAGGAAATCGTCTAGTTCCAAAGGCCTCAGGAAGAAGGAAGAGGCTGCCTAGACTGTGAGCACCCTGATGAAAGCAATTCCATTTTGTTTTTGCCACTATCAACCGGCATTTGAGAAGGTATTGTAAGGGTGGGAGCAGACCAGAAGGGAGTGAATTCTTCACAGAGAATTTAAACAATAATGAAACCAACTCAGTGGATCTGGTTTCTGTTATCACTGTGCCCTGGCCGTGCTGAACAACGTCAGTGATGGAATTCTGTTCGATGCCAGGGCGGATCTGCCTCCACAATGCCACACCCCTTGGACGCTGCCCCACGGACACTATTCCCAGCACCTGCGCATTGTCTGGCACATGACAGGTATGGATTATAGGGGGAAATGCTAAGGTGGGAAATAAGAATATAGAACTCCCCCT